ACCATGGAGAAAAATACAGCATGATTTCAAATAATTTCATTAGTGCAGCAAAAAATATATTTTTTAAATTTATGAAAAATAAATTTATATTTTACTACATCATTTCCTTTAACTATCTAATTTTTGGTTTCTCAATATTTCTTCAAATAATTGCACAGTTTAGCATTCTTTTATTTTTGGGGGGGAGGGCTGCTGCAACAATTTAAAGTTCAGTATAATCAGCAATACAATTTGATGCCAACAATAACTTTTCACTTAAGTCTTTAGGTATTATATTAGAATTTGAAGTATGCATATCAGCAGGTGTTTGAGCAGGAAATGTTAGAAAGAACAAAGCAGTTCATGGAATGTACAGAATTTTGGCCAGCTACCTAGTTATTCCATAAGTTATCCAGAGAATCTTTACCAATATGGTCTTCAAACGGATTTTCAGCTCTAAGTTTCACATGCATTTGTATGTTACGAAAATAAATAATATTTTATAATCTCCACAACTAGGCTATCAAGAGTTGAAAGATGTTCTATTATAATATCAGCCATATAATTAAACGAACTTTTGACAACAGTTCCATGGATGCAAGTTGAACAGAATTTTGGCAATACTGTGTATTTCTGTTTGCTATCTTCTCTCAGCCCCAAAATTTGCAATATGAGTTGTTTCTGTTTCTGTAAAATACAAATGTGTAAATGAATCTGTTGTTAAGTGTTTCCACAGTCTAAGAGTTTTCAATTTATGTAATTTCTGAATGATATATTTTATATAAAAATTAGGGAAAGAAGAGAAGAGAAACGAACATTTCACAAATCCAGAAATTTTTAATTTCATAAAGTATAAAATCTGGAATTCTGGATATATCAGGACCACAATCACCCCTGATATGATGAGAAATTGCAATAAATAAATTGTTTTGAAATAAATGATAGGAAATTAATTAATTAAATCTTGATTAATAATTTATTTAAAAATACTTTTTTGAGTTTTAATTATATATTACATATATATAATAAATTATCCCACTTCAAGAAAATACAGTATTATTTAAACATAATAAAAAAATTACACATGGAGGCTTTAATTAGGTTTTTCGTCTTTTTATTTCTCTGATAACACATTTTTATCGCTTAAAAACCAATGGCAATTGCATGAAACTCTAGCAGTAAAATAGTATTTGTGGCGCCGTAGCCTGGTGTACATTTATGTTACGGCAGTTTCTAAGAGAAACATTTCTCTAGAAAGTTTTTAAAAAAGTGATCATAAAAGTGGCACCTCATATATACAACAGCAAATTCTAAGAATTTTTTCCCTTTAGAATTTACTTCAAATGGTTTTTAAGATAATGCTAATGAATCCCGTTAGATCAAAATAAATCATGAAAAAAGAAAACTGGATTTTTGTTAACACTATATTAACCCATTAGCCGCTGGTGTTGCGTTGACGCAACGGTCAAAATAAATGCTTATATAAATATAACTACCTAAGATATTTTATACCAGCAGATGATTTTGTGTAGGGAATATTATGAAGATTATTTCTGTAAAAAAATATTTGCCTTCAACAATCATTTTGCTTATAATAATTAATCTCATACTTTAAGCAAAATTTTCGACCGGGTATTTTTGCTGAAAATATTTAACGAAAGAATCGCCGTCTTTATGAGTGATCTATTTTTAGTCAAGGTCACCGTTTATCAGAACATTACATCAGTCAGATGTTTATATTTGCGTTGGGAATAAAGGGAAAACAGGTGTTGCGCTGACGCAACGTCAGCAGGAAACGGGTAGTCAATCTCTTTTTTCACTCATTCCTTTCGATGCTCTGGTTCATATTCTGGTTGTTTAAAAATGCCTAGAACGAGGTATCTTACATTAGAAGAAGCCCTTCAAAGATTTTTTGATGAAGAAACAGATGATGATAATGTTAATAATGACCAGAATGAAACTGATATTGCTGTTTTTTCCCCAGAAATTGCAGAAACTAGTGACGAAGAAGAAAGCAATGGCAATGTTTTAAATAATGATAATGATATTTTACCAAATGATACTGCTGGGGAAGTTGAAATTCACGTAAGAAGTAAGTTTCAGCCTTCTAAAAGCAGTTATATTCACACTAAAAAGTTTAAAAAGCAGAAGACTGAAATCTTGAAGTGGATAAAAAAAGGAACTGTTAGTTATGTCTCAGGAAGAACATGAAGAAAGAGATAGAAGAAAAATTATAAAAGACAAAACACAAGGTAAAACTAGTGCACAGATTTTCGATTTGGTTTAGACATTTACTCTCTTCTCGTTGAACAGACAAATAAATACGCTCAGAAAAAAAAAAAAAAAAAAGAAATGCCCAGAATTTATTGCATCTGAAACCTATATGAGAAGATTTATTGGAATATTATTGCTTACAGGATATCATTCTTTACCTCAAGAAAAAAAGGTATTGGTCTTTTGATAAGGACATTTCTGTTCCTGTTGTACGAGAATCGATATGATGTTTGCAGTACAGGAATATGAAGCAGAATTTGCATTTGACAATACTGATAAATTATATGAGATGAGACCGTATCTAAACTTACTAAATATCACCACATTTTACTACTGTAAATATAAAGTCTCTTTTAGATTTCAGACACGAGAATGCATTATTCCTTTTGCAAACTCCTGTTGAGAGTGTAGAATTAGCCAGAAATAGATCAGCAACAGGAAGACCTAGTAAATTCGGCATTCAAAAACCATTGTATGGAGAAGGTAGACATTTTATCGTAAAGCCCGTTGATAACAAAAGACTTTGTCGTAAAGAGTACCATAGCCAGACTGTTTATAGATGCAAAGTATGTAATGTAGCTTTACATCATGATTGTAATGAAGCTTTTCATGCTTGAATCTTTCAATTGAAATAATCTGTATTTGTAAAAAAAGATACAATGTATATTTTAATATTAAAGTAATTACAAGTAAAGTGATTTGTAGATTTATAAAATGTTATACAGCTAAAAAGTAATCCTGCGCTCCACTCAAAAGAAACATCACACGAGTACAATCCTAGTCATTAAATATCCGTAGTCATATTCTGCTGACGATGCGCGAACGCAACACTCGCTTTTTCCACAGGTAAGAGCATTTTTTTAATTTTCAATGTAAATTTATGTTATAAATGCTTAATTTAATATTTGTTATTATTTTCATGAGAAAAGAAACATTCCTTGTAGTTTTGGCGGTTAATGGGTTATATAAAAATCATGTAGAAACAGAATCAAGTATTTTAATTTGTTTTTCTATAAAGAATAATTTTATTTTATTAACCTCTTCAAAACATACAACATATTTATGTTTTGTTATTTTACATACATATTTAAATGCATGACTTCAAAAAAATAATTATTAACCTATGGACAGATCTTGCAATGGTTTTACAGTTTTTAATATTTAGAACTAAAAGAAAATTTTAAAAAAATGTTGCTTTTTCTTTCAGGGGATTGGGGACTGTGCACTTATTTCTATATAATTGAAACTGATGAAAGAAAGGAGATATTTTTTCCTAATATGGATAATTGAGGAATTGCAGTAATAATGCATTTTAAAATTATACATTTTATTCATTCTGAAATAATTCCATGTATATAATTTACACAATTTTTTTTAAACATAGTCAGTAAAAATATTATATTATCATTTTATCACATGCTCCCATTCTGAGACACTTGCAAAACATGATTGGATATTTGAGTAAATTAATTTGACTAGACTGCTGTTTAAAAGTAAATATGTATTATACTTTTTAATATCACAAAAATGCATCTTTACATCTACCTTAATACAGTGGTTCTCAAGTGGTTTGTCATAGTTTAGTGTTCCCAAACACACAGCTAAACTCAGAAGAGAAAAAGTCCCAATTTGGAAACTTACAATTAATTACTCATTAATTACTTTTCTATTACTATCAGACTGAAATAGTGAAAGCAATTCCTCTCTGCTTTGAAAATTAAACAAAAAATGGAAAAAATTAAAGAAAAAGCAGGAAATATGTAAAGTTACAATGATTTTCCTTTTATTTATCTACATTTCAAGTTTACAAATTTTCTGGGTTAAAAATTAAATTAAATTAAAACAAAAAAAAAACAAAAAAAAAAAAAAAAAACACTTGTGATAAGAATTTACGTGACACTTCAGAGCTGTACGCAGAAATACTGAATTAGCTTTACTACAAAAAGGCATTTTTTCAATTTCTAGCTGTACAGTTTCAGCTTTCATTCTGCTTCTCAGAATTCTCTTCTATTGCAGTTAAAGGAAATACTATTTTCACTTAAATTATTTTTTGCTATGGTAAAAGACAACTACATTTTATTTTCAGCAGATGAATACGAATGTTACCTAATCAATCCTTTTGCAAGGTGAGTTGGAAAGAACACAGTTATTTATCTTGATGCCTACTCAAGAGGCCAAATAGCTAAAACTATGGAACACATTTCATGCCAGCATCTGTTCCCAGCATTTGAACAGGTTGGCTGCATGGAGTTCCTTTAGAAATCCCTGCATGAAGGGCTATCTTTAGGCAGATATCCCTTATGTTCTTTGTCGCAAATACTTAGCCTAACCTAACATTAAACAATATTATAAAATGTCTACCCATTAAATTCCACCCAAGAAATACACTCCAATTACAGATATGTACTGAATACATGTAGATATGTACTACCTTGATGATGCCATTATACAGTTTCAAATTCAAGCAATGTAACACATCAAGCTCTAAATTAAACTCAATCATATCTATTTTGTTTTACAATTAGACATAAAAAAGAAACTTTAAATCATACTTACAAAACAAATTTCCATCAATGCTAGATAATAACAAAAAAAAAAAAAAAATTAAACTGTACAGTAAACATTGAAAATTTGAGAACCACTGGACTTCACATTAAAAAACGAAGATATGTTCAAATACCACAATGTATTAAACAGAAATACTTCATTACAAAAAGGTTTTTAATTGTTTGAAAGAATCTACAGCATTAATATCATATAATCTTTTATTTATCATAGCACTTGTTTGGAAGTGTAGTATAAGATTCAGAAGCATATAGTTTTCACATTTATAAGTATACATCTACCATTGCTTAAGCACTCAGGTTATGAACTATTTCTTTCTGATAAAATAACACTTAGTTAAAAATTTAAAACTCCTAATAATTAGTCCAGGTAAAAGCAGACAGCTTCACTTCATTTGCTGCTTATTCAATTTTTAAAATGCAAACTAAAAACATTAATACTGATGAATACAAAAATATAAATTATATAAACAAATAAAAATGCCTAAAATTCTGATTACTAATTCTTTAACCTCATAAATAAATAATTTAATTACACCACAAATAACATGAAAATGAACATGGAATGTTAAAGAAATACATATGATTATAAATAAAACATATTTTAATTACTTTAAAAACCTTAAGTAGATAGTATTTTTCATTAAAACTTCTGATTATGTGCAACAGTTAAAATAGCTTGCATAGAAACTGAGTTATGTATTTACAACTTTTGTACAAGGACAATAATACGCAGTTTTAATGAAAAATATTTTCTCTTTAGAAAACAAATTTTAAACAATATGGAATAATAAAACAAATTTTCAGACAAATGCAACATATTTTCTTATTAATTAATTAAAGTTAATTAATAAAACAAATCTAATATTAATTTATTAGATGAGATGTATAATATCAAAATGGAATGCAAAAAGTAAAATAATACTGAGTATAAATTTTCAAATTCTAAAACCAACCAGAACACAAAATAACAAAACAGAAAGAACATAAAACCAAATACTATATTCTTGCACTGCAATGTAACAAGTAGCTTCTTATAATACACAATATTTAAAAACATTTTAACACAAAACATTTAATATATAATTTGTTCGTTAAAAAGGTATGTTTTCCCTACGAGTATCCTTCAAGACAATAATCTGCAAAATATGAGCAACCTTGACCCTATTCTCAATGACCATTTTCATACTAAACAATGAACTTCCATTGATTTCAGAGATATACTGCAGGACTTCAGTGTGAACTATTAAATCCTTAAGACTCTGTTCCTGTTTTATACAAATATAAACTGATTTCAAATTCACCAGTTACTTTGGAAACATATTTAACTCCCAGCATATCTCTGATAACATAGCACCAAAGTGCACATTTCATATTATTAAAATATTCCATTTCTAATATTATTAATACCAACAATCAATTATTTTTGTTTTAACCTATGTGCCTATACCTACTGGAAATGGGTCAGTATTAAGAGAGAACCTGACAAATCCAGATTCACAGGCAGTGGCTAATTTGACTGATTTGACTAAAAGCACAATGTACTACTTATCCTGATTGTCAAAATACTCTATTTTGAAGGTAAAATAAAATGGAGGAAGCTTGGTAGAATTCAGGTAACATGGGAAAACAACCAGCATGAATAAAAAAATAGCCAAGCATTCTTTTATGGATGGATGAACCTTATGTCTATCGATAATAACTAGTGGCTATTAGTTACAGATTTAGGTATTATTTTCATAGTTCTATTGGATAATTATACTAGTATGTAAAGAGGAAGGGGGAAATCTATACTTACACTAGCATAAAAATACTGAAATAATTTTCTCAAATGACCAGAATAACTATTATTAAAATAGTAAAGCATGAGAAAAGACTAAGAGAAGGTTCTTGACTCTAAAATACTTTGTTTAAAATGCGAACAACAATAAATGTAGAAACAAATGTTAGTGCTTTCTATCACTTTTTCAAGATTTTATTTTAAAGTGTTTATAACCAATCCTAACTACTCCATTAAAAATAATGGCATTAAATGATAATCAAGTATTAAAAATGATGAAATACATTGATGTATTGATACTCTTCAAATAATTTTGACAATTAATACCTATGAAAAGGCTTCAAAGGGCATATGTTAACATAAAGTGCACATACAAAGTTTTTAAACTCAACCAGCTGAAGCAAAGCTGCCCCATAAGAACTAATGTCAATCATTATGAATATATCTCAACTAGCATTCTTTAAAATATCACATTCACGTGGAAAGAAATTTAAATAGAATTTTTTGTTTGATTTTATGTAATTTTGTATGACTGTTATATCTACTGTTCCATATTTAAAAGTAAAATCATGAAAAGCAATGGAAAGTTTTCTTTGTATAATTACCATCAGTAATTCATTATAAAAAAATGCAAGCGTTCTCACTTTCACTTGTGAACTACTTTTCATTTACTACCACCAGTAAAATCTGCCCTTTAAGGACTCTATTTTGACAGCAATTCAAAAATTAACAAACCCAGTAGGGAATCAGATGTTTTTTGCCTAAACAGCTTTTCTGAGGCACAGTATAAACATATAAATCTTGTTTTCTTCCCCCTTCTTCTGAACTAAATTTTGCTTCATTTTAGCTTCTTGAGATTACTAAAATATGTTTGCAGCAGGCAACATTACATTTCAGAAATTAAATGAGTCATTACAAACTGCGCAAAAACAGTTTGAATATCACCGATTGTGAAGCATTTTGCAGCTTCTAGAATTCATACTTAACTTAAAGACTTAAAGTCATGCACAAGAGAGAAACAAAATTGGTTGAAAAAACTGTAAATTTTCATTCTATGAAATACTTTTAAAAGTGAACAAAGTGAAAACCTCAGTTATTAGCATACTTTTATAAATTTTGCACAGATCTGATATATTAGAAAAATGTTAACTTCATCTTAAGCATTAGAACAGCTTCTTTTATAAATCAAAATTAATGGATGGAACTTAAAAGATAATACAAGGTAGTAAAAGGATCTGTCACGAGAATACCAGGTTTGAGATGGAAGCCCTAGGTTTGACTGCAAATACCAGAAAACTTCATGCTGGAAATAAATAGAATATAAAAGTATGCCATATTTAAGATACTAGCACTCACAAGAATCAAGTTATGAAAGGAGAGCATGATCCATTATATTAAAACTCAAAATCATACCTAAAAACAAATATTGCACTATTTTTAATAAAAATTACATAGCTTAACATTATTTTTGAACTATGTTACCTGTTCTCAAAATGCTATCTAGTTGCCACTTAAATAAAATAAGTTAAAAAAATCCTCAGTGACAGGTTTTGTGAAGCAACTCTTTGGCACAGAAATGACATATATATATACATTTTATATAAAATAAAAACTTTTAAGACAGCATTATTGAGCCTATTTATTTTAAAAATCAGAGCTTATAACATTAAGCAAAGGAAGGCTTTAAAGGAAGACATTTTGCTTTCAAACTTGCAAATGGTGTCCAGAGAAAAAAATAAAAATAATGAGCAAAATAATAAATTTCCACACAGTTTTTATTAACACTATTTAAACATGGAAAAGAACTATTTTTCCTTAATTTCAGAAAGGGAAAGCAGAAGTTTAAATTACTTAAAGTAAATTCACCTTTATATATTAATCCATACCCATTCACGCAGCTGTAACACTATATTCTTTCCTTTCTGCTAAAAGTGCACAATTAACAATGTTTGCCCCATGCTGAATTTGGCATAGAATTTCTACCAAGCTTTTTACAGCCTATAGATACATTGTGAATATACATGTCAGTGAATGCAAAGTTCAGCATCATAACTAGCCGCTAAGCATCAGTTGACTTGCCATATTTTTAAGTGTGCACAGGAAATTTTATAAAAAGTCACTATATTTTTAAATAATTAAAATCTTTACTATGGAAGCAATACGAAATGATTATTTTGTAATACTAAAATCATAGCTCGGCTGCAGTAAGGCTATACAGCATAATTAGCATTCTATAGTACAGCTATTTTTTTACATACATTAATTATTATACATGATAATCACTTCATTACAATGAAATTATAAAATGAACACAGTATGGCTCTCCCTCTGTTGCAGAACATTTAAATTATATTAACATTTTAGATGTCATTGAGCTTTTTATTTATCAGTAATACACTAAAAAAGGGTTACAAGCTTTTACACTGAGTAATAAATGCAAATGTTTTCTCAACTTTCTTTCATTTTATTTTGAAAGACAAGAAGAAACTGATAAAGGACAAGTTAAATGAGCAACTTAATTTTTTTTTTTAATTATACAGAAGATTGGTTTATTTTTCTCTTAAAAATACCAATATGAGATATTTTTAGCTTTATTTATATGATAAATTAATGGGCAATTGTTATAAGTATTTGCATAGCATAATTTTACAGTGGTATTACAAATCTGAAATCCTCAGTACAAAATGCCTTTATTGTTAACATAGAAAAAAAAATCCATCAAGTATGCAAATTATACTGTTGGGAAGGAAGGAGCATATAAAATAAACATATACTTACAGCAAAATAAATCTATAATCATACTTTTATACAAGGAATAAAAAGTGAAATACACAAATAATGCCGCTGCAAGGAGTGAAGAACTCAAAATTCTTCTTGATTTAAATAATATATGAAATATGTTAAACTACTAGAAAATACAGGATCAGCAAGATGGCTGGCTAATTTGGGCTTAACTGATATGATTAATCGACACTTTAATGCTAACACACTTCCAGACATTCAAAACACATTTCCAAACGCACAAAGTGCTTACATGTTACACTAATAAATGCTAATATTTATCATAAAAGGCCTATGCAACTTAAAATTCAATGGTTTTGTTGCACCATTTAAAATCTCTTTGATTAAATACATGATATATTTATTCATACATATAATTTTATTTACATATAAATATTCATATGCTGAAAAAATATATATATATATTTTTTCAGCATGCAATTTAACAATCGTATGTCCCATTCCAAGAACACATATAAATAATCTTTTTATTTAAATACACTGAAAACAAAGATAGTGTATCAAACAGAACAACATATAAGAGTTAAGAAATGTTATAATACAATGTCCACCCAGCAGACACATAAGACTAATATAAAAATCTGCTAATGATCAATAAAAGAATGCAGTTTCCACGTCACAAAAAATTATATATCCATAACATCCAATAAATAAATACAATATTAACACAAACTATATTTTAAATAAAAACATGATACAATAATAAAGTAAAAAACAGAAATTATGCTTAATATTTGCTACAGTGATGCAAATGAAAGACAATGGTTAAAGTATTTTTGCCTGATATCCCTAATTTACCTGAATTTCTTCTAAAAAATGCCTTGCAAAATTATGATTTGATGAGTTACTGGCATAATTAGCCAAAAATCATCTTCATTACTTATTTGTAAAATAGACAACTAATAAAGAAATCAGTCAATCATAAAAAAATCATATCTGAAAAGTAAAATGCTTTTATCAAAAGTATTTCTCTAGAGAGGAAAGATGAATTTTTAACATGGTTAAATATTATTGAGAATGTTATAAGTTTTATATTCCTACAATTGAACTCTAAGTCCATGCTAGAGATCAGTATATATTTTAAGAAAACAGTATGGAATAAAAGAGAGAAAAACTACATGGAAATAGCAATAAAAAATGTTAGCTGCTTTAGGGTGGGGCTGCCTAATGTACAAACAGGATTTAAAACCTTGCATTTAGCAATAAAGAGAGCAGAATGAAAGCAAAATAGAAATAAGAATATCTGATAGGTTTCAAGATAAAAAGCTGCTTGGAGATCAATTATATTAATTCATAAATTTATTACCAAATTATTATTCAGCAAAATTTTACCTGCACATCATTTGCAGATAGTTTTGTCCAATAACCTAGATTAAAATTACTCAAGATTTTAAAAAATACATACTGCTCAAATTTATAGAAACACTCTAGTCTGGATTATTTAATTTTTAGCTTTTACTAAAGCTTTTAAGCTTTCACTTAACTTAAAATTATAATTTGGGACAAGAAAAAATATTAATATAGTTGAAATTGACAAATTATTAAAAACATTTCATTTTATACAAATGAAGTATAACCATGTAAAGACAAACATTCTGAATTTGAAAACAATTAAGCTAAAATCAACTTCAGTCTGAAGTCTGCCCCCCTTTAAAAAACTCATCAGAAAGACAAAACAATAAATAAATAAATAATATCTAAAATATGAACATACTAAAAAAATAAAATTTTCAATTCAGCAAAATGTAACATTCTGAAAATATGGAAAACTTCACACCTTGCAGTTGAAATTAAAAAACAAATGGAACAAATATTTACAGCGGAATGGTTTTCTACATATATTCTATGTACTCTGGTTGATAGGATGAGAAGTTTCTGGGCTCATGAAATGTGGTGGAGGAGCATGAAGGAAAAAAAATCTTCCAACTACAGACAAAATAAAGCCTTCTCCCAAAAGCAAGGCACTTCTAATATCTGAAAAGAAATCAAAGTTATTTAAACGATGCATGCCATAGTGAATCAGAATTAAAACCCTAAATACACATTTATGCAACCAAAAGTTAACATACATTCTCTTAACCTCTCGCTATATAATGACATATAAGATACTCTACACAAAATACAGATGAAGCATAGAAACCATGAGTCAGATTTGTGATACAGGTTACTGATCAAAGATAAGATTCACAGTATGGCATATGAGCTAAATATATAAATTACTCATCAAAACTCATCATATATATTACAGGCATACTTGCCAACCTATGACACTCAAAAATCGGGAGATTTTTTTAAGAAATCATATTTTTTACAATGTTAAAAAGACTTTTTAAATGATAAAAATATAGTTTTTAATAATGAATTAACTTTAAATAGTTACTAATTCTTAAATGCAAGCAACACAAAAATGCCTTACACATAAAAAACATTTTTATTTCTTGCATCATTAAAAAAAAAAAAAAAAAAAAAAAAAGACACTATAATCAGTTTTCATACAAATGTTATGAACAGTGGCCGATTTTGCTTTTGTTAAGAAACTTCATAATTTTTTTCATAGCAATTGCCATGTAGGCCTGCTTTCGCTAATAAAAGTTTTTCTAATGTGATATCACTAATATTAGATCTAAATTTAGTCCTCGTTTTCGCAACAACACTGAAAATTGTCTCACACTCTGCATTACTATGGGGAACTGTCAAGATGGCCAACATAATTCTAGACAGTTCACTATATTTAAAAATTCCATCAGCACCTTTCACTTTTCCAATCAAACTCCACTGGGTATCAATCCTAGCTGATTTTATAACTTCATCCAAGTTTTCTAATTGTAGATTGCAATATTTTATCAGTGGTTACATCAATATCATCATCTTTCATGACTAAAGGAAGTAACACAGGTACCTTATATCAGAAAAAAAAATCAATATAAAAAATTATATCAAAAAGTACCTTATATCAGAAAAAGATGCATTTGCTAGAGCAAAAACATCAGCAACTTTAGCATGCAAAATCACTTCATCGTTGACTGGAAATTTATTAATAAGCGAACACTACTACAACGTTTGTACCCTAACACGAAATCTTTGATGTTTGTTTACATTGCATGGTCAATTGTTAATCTTTGCCATAATTCACCACGAAACATGATAAGAAGCCAAATATAGTAATCCAGCCCTAAGCCCATGATGCCATGGTACACTTTTCCGTACACATTTTACATTTGTCTGTACATAATTGTGACAGACTATTTCTGGATACGTATATGCTCTCACTCACAAAGCAGAAGTTCTCATCTGATTCGCAAGGTTTTGTTTTAGATAGAGAAAATTAAATTGCTTTCAGACGTCCAAAATCACTTTTTTTTTTTTTGTTTTTTTTGTTTATATAACGAAGCCAAGTTCCATAAAAATCGTGAGAAATTTTAAGAATAAGAAATAGTCGGGAGAAATATATTGTAAATCGGAAAATTGGGGGAGTTGGTCGAAAAACTCGGGTAACACAAGCCAAATACATAAATTACAAGTTAGATTTGCAATATGTATTATAAAGCCAAACCTGGAAATTATGATGCAGATTTGTGGTACACATTATAGGGTAACATTAAAATCATATGGAAGGAAATAAAGACCAAATACCTGCACATTTGATAAATATTACACAGCAAAAGTAAAAGTTTGAGCTGCGGTTGAGTATCTGCAGCTTGTGCTATAATTAATTTTATACTACTTATTTTCATGATGATTAAAAAGAAGAAAAATGAATGAAAAAATAGCCCCCCCCCTTTTTTTTTTCTTTTTGTAACAAATATAATGAAAAGTTTGTTGACATGTTTAATAGTGAAACTCTTGATATTACTGGTACTACTGTTATATAGACTTCAAGCAGTTTTATAGCTACTATATTGCTTCTAAAGCTACTATGGACAGCTATTAATTTTTTAAGCCACGAGAATTTTTCATGGATTTAGCACCTAAAATGAGTCTTTTTATGCACAATTAGACATGTTTTGAAAAATATGTTAGACAAATATGATGGTAACAATGATAGTAAAAGCTGGTAAAACAATTGCTACAAACTGCAAGGTAAAATACAAACTTTTAATGTTTACAATTTCTATGAACTGAAATGAATTTTAATATACAAGATCTGCATAAAAATACATTCATAATAAAAAATTGAATTAATACATAAGTTTTTTACTATTATTAAGACTACTGATGAATTTTACATGTCTAACTATCAAGCATCTAGAAGGGAAGCCAAGCCACAATCCAATTTGCAATTTTTTTTTCAATATCATTCTCACAGCATCTTAAGTAAATCTTATGATCAAGTATCAATAAAACACATTTTAACAAAAACGGATTAATTACAGCATCATCTAGTGTTTCTTAAAAATATTTTACATAAATGAGTAAGTTACATGGAAATGCTATGTATATTTTAATCTAGAAAAATCTTCAAAATTTTTCCAGTTTCAGTTCAAGAAAAAATGGACTTAAATGAATCGGAAGTATTCTCATAATAAAACATTTAGAGGTATAGAATCACTTTTAAAATTAAAAAAAGCTACAAATAAATACGCAGAATTACACTTTCAAGCGTTCACAAAAAATGTTTTTGTTTATAAACAGGTCTAACGGAAGTAAATTCATTTTTGTAAACTCAACACTTCTTTCCTGATCATTGTATATCATCATATTGTATCATGCATATCATCACTTATCAATCTGAGTTTTTGCCTTTTGATAGTTTGTGTTAATTTGATTGAATAATTTAAATATGCTAGCTATAGAAATCTAAGTTAAAAAACTGAAAATTTATTATAAATTCCAATAAAACCTGGTTATTTTATTTTTAGCATGTGTAGTTGATTAAAAAAAAAAAAATTAAGTTTACTAGTCAGAAAAAACACTATACAGAGAGAGAGGGAATCAGTTCCCTTAAAAATTCTCTAGCACAATGGACTTAACTGTCATATTCCTAACTGATCTTTAAGAGAAGCTTACACACACACACACACACACACACTGAATTTAATGTTTTATAAATATCCTGAGATGTATTTCATAAGAGTTAGCATTTTGTACCTGACACATATTAAAAAGGAATAGAAAACAGTATGAAGATGAATATTTATTAGCTAAGAATATTACAAATATTATCATATTGGTAATTTTTAGTTTAAGGGTTGAAACTCCAGTCTCCGATATTTGGGTTGTAGGAACCATTACTACACATATTAATCAGTTCTAAATTTCTGATACAGTCACTATTATTATTGCTTATTTTGCTATCATCAGTCACTTGTCCCCTTAAACTTGATCTGATAATTTACAAACAATATAATCAATAACAACATTATCATTTTCTCATTAAAATTTAAATATTTCAGGAATTATAAGGCTATATTTTATATATTATGATTTATTACTATAAATTAAAAAAAAAAAAAAAGCTTTAAAGTAATGACTAGGAATTTGCCATTAATTATTCCTCACTCAAAGAAGCACAGATATTTTTCTTATAGCTCAGCCCAAATGTTCACAACAGGAGGGTTCTGAATTTTTCTGGGAATATTTGAATCTTGATTGTTAAAAATCCACATGGAGAATGTTAGGAAATGGTTGCAATATCAATGACAGCCACTTAAAAAATTTTTGTGATGTATCCATTGGGACCAGATAAAGGAAAAATACTGAGATATTTCAGGTAGGTATTTCTAACCTAACCTAAAAATACCATCAGATTGACAGTATTTTTTGGGGGGTACCCTTTATGTACTACGAAGCAGTCTATTTTGAAAGTGAAGTGCCACATTTGAGCTTCATGAAATACAATGAACATCTTATGATTTTCCCAAAAACATACGTAAAGAATACCTACCGAAAAAAGACAGACACTATAAATAAAGGCAATTAAACACTCTCTCCTAAAAGATACATAACAATATACACCTTTTCAAATATTCTTATCAATTTTACACACTTTTTTGAAACAAGTATATAAAACTGTTATCAATAAAGAAATGTCTAAGAACAACAACACTTAAACAGTGTCTCAATAATATACTTACACAAAGCTGTCATTAAAGAAGAAACAGGTGGATGGCAAGGAAAGAACCCCAGTCTGCCAAGCGTGTCAAATGTAAAGAAATGAAAACGAACAAGGATGAACTGAAGTTGCAGGGAGAGAAATTTGCCTTGAATGTGGAATCCTGAGAGGAGTTTTGAAGTAGTTTTCATGAAGATAACTAATCCATATACTCCAATGAAGAAGGATGCAAAGTTCAGACCAACAAGGTATGGTGCAGCATTATCTGGCACAAACTACAAAGAAACATTCTATTTCAGCTAGTAAAACTAAGTAACTATTTTACATTTAATTTTTTTCTGAATTTTACTCTTCGTTTAAGTAGATATTTAATTCTTATGCCATACATGCATTTGTTCAAAGATAAATATTTGCACTCTGCTGTGGTATCATATATATTACAAACACCAACTCCTTGAATAATGCTTATAAATTGCCACTGGAAATTAGTGTTCAATATCTTCCTACATTTTCAACTATGTGTCAGTTCCAATAAGAAATACACTGACTACCAATAAGTATTTGGACACCTACGCAAATGACGATATCTGCAGCCCTAAGATACGCGACGGACTCCGCCGGTATATATCGTGAAGGAAACAGCATCGGCTTTAGTCGCATGCGAGATGCCTCGCAATTCGGAGCTCTCTGATTTCGAGAAAGGTATAATTATCGGGTATCACAAATGTGGCCGATCCTTAAGGGACATATCTAACGATCTGAAGTACCCAAAATCGACAGTGGCCTCTGTGATTAAGAAGTGGAAGGTGAGTGGTAATTGTTGGAATGTGCCCCGAGTCGGCAGACCAACGAAACTGGGAGATAGAGACCGACGAGTGCTATCTAGAGAAATTCGGAAGAACCGCACCCAACCGATGGCCCTCATCTGTGAGGAGTCTCAACAGGCATCCGGGAATATTGTTTCAATGAATACCATCGATAAGGAAGCACATTTGCTTGGTTTTCATGGTCGTGCTGCTGCCCATAAGCCTTTGATCACAAAGTCCAACCGCGCTGCTCGGTTAATGTGGTGCAAAGCACATCGAAATTTGACCGTAGATCAGTGGAAACGGGTTGTTTGGAGTGACGAATCAAGGTTTATCCTTTATCGTTCGGATGGCAGGGTCTGGGTCTGGCGTCTACCTGGAGAACGTCTCCTGCCAGAATGCATTGTGCCAACAGTCAAGTTCGGCAGAGGTGGAATTATGGTCTGGGGGTGTTTCTCCTGGTGTGGGCTGGGACCCTTGGTCCCCATTCATGGTAAGCTCAACTCCGATGCCTACTGCACTATTTTGGATGACCATGTGCTTCCTACGTTGTGGCAGTTTTACGGGTTGGACCCCTGTTACTTTCAGGACGACAATTCCAGTTGTCATGTTTTGACGTTAACCAAGGTTTGGTATGGTGCCAATGGAGTTCATTGAATGGACTGGCTTGCCTAGAGTCCAGACCTGAACCCTATTGAGAACCTCTGGGACGAGTTGCATCACCGAATTCAGGTGTGCACTATCCGTGCAAAATCGGTGAAGGAACTTCTATGTCTTGTCCAAGCCAAGTGGAAGAAAATACCCCCAGCTGTCATATAAAGACTTGTGGAAAGTATGTCCCGGAGGATCCACGCTGTAATTATCTCTCGTGGAGGCTCTACCAACTATTTATTGATTTTGAATAAAGTTAGTTTTTCTTTTCTGTCACAGGTGTTCAAATACTTATTGGTAGTCAGTGTAGCACAATGTTAGGCAATGTGAGGATACTCGAGATAAAATTAATTTCAGTGCTACTTTGGTAGACGGTTGCACGGATTTTTGGCGATTGACTTTGGCCCAATTGTTGGCGCGGTTTTACAATCATCAGCCATCTTGAAAAAAGCTGTTTTTATGTATTTTATGCATAGTAAAGTATTCGAAACTTTAAAAAAATAAATATCGTTAAAAATAATGGATTAATTTTTGTTGAAAATGTTGTTTTTTTAAGATGGCAGGCAAATGTAAATAAATACATTTACTACGAGTATAAAATACTAAAGTAAGTAAGGTTAAAAGTATTACTTTCTTATAGCGAAGAAATAGAATAAAAAGACAGCTATAATAACATTGTGCCAACATTTAACTGGATTAAAATATTATTTAAATTGAATATCAAATTAAAAACCATCATACCAACGATTAAAAGAATTAAAATATTATTTAACTTTAAAATAAGTACATAAGAATGCTTCGTACACTAGAGCTAAAGTGACAGCAATTAGAAGTTTACTGCCGGTAAAAAAGAAGAAATGTCTAATACTTTTTTTTATCATTATAACGGTTATTGACCACAATACCATATGCGGACAATCCTTAGAATCAGGTCTTTTAATGATCTTCCTCTATGATCCACATTTCTCACACTTCATTGAAGAAGCAATTAGTAAGGTTTCTCCAAAAATTTTGAATAAATTTCCCCAGACCCTTCTAACAATTTATAAATAAATCTTTGATTACGAAAGCCAGGTTGGCCAAAATAAGGTCTCAAAGGACAATTTTTTTGTTTCCAATACCAATAAGTCTTGGTAATTACCAATAACAACATTTGTCTTTGAAAAGGACACATCCGTTCGCTATGAAATCCAAGGAATTCAAAGAAATTTTAAAATGGCACAGTAATGCACAAATATTCAGTAACCAATCAGAGAGCTGATTACATCACGCATAGAATTAAAATTATTTAAATAATCATAATAAAATCAGTTTTAAAAAAATGCAAAATTAAATTGTAATTTAATATTTAACTGCCATAAATAATGTTTAAAACATTAGATTAAATTTATAGGTATTAAAACCAATTATTTTTAAAGCAAGGTGACATCATTGATTACATCATCCACAACATAAAATTATATAAAATATCATAAACAATAAAATTTTATTTTAAATAAAAATACAAAATTAAATTGATTTGTAATATTTTTAGAAGCCATAAATAATACTGAAAACACGGATTTTATGCATAATAAAACGCATTATTTTAAAAATAAAATGACAACAAAGTATCGGTTACCATAAATAACTTGTCCAGCAATGGGTTTACCATAAGTTGTCTCGCTCACTCACACACACACACACTCACACACACACAAAAAAAAAAAAAAAAAAAAAACCAGCTAAAATCCATATCTGTGCAACCGTCTACCAAAGTAGCACCTTAATTTCACATTAATATTAAAATTCCTTACTGCAAATAAATTTCTTTCACCATTAATAGCAAATTAAACTTCTGATTTAACACAGCATGAAGTTTTTACGTATGGTTTCATGAATTATTCAATCATTAATTAATATTATAAAACTTGCTCCAAACTGCTTCTAATGTAAGAGGACTGGCATTTAAAAACTGAAGATGTAAAATAAATAAAGTTAAAATCAACAGTATTGTTTTAAAACTTATTGAATGAATGATTTAAATTCTATAAATAAAACTTAATACATTTGTTTACAAATAAAAGAATTTAAATTATTCACTGTTAATATTTAAACTTTTGCACTTCAGTGTTATTCAAGTAGAAAAGCTCCTCCGGATTTTTTCTCCTTTTACTCTTTTTAATTAAAGCAAACAAATACATGTAAAGACAGTTTGTATTTACCACAACAGTGATTAATATGGAGTGAATTTTAAAGTGTTTCTGGTCTAAATAAAAAAAAAAATTCAGCACTTGAACGCATGAAATTATTTTTTTATTACATGAAATACAATATTTGTAATTGTAACAACTACTTCTTAAATATTGGTTTCATATTTTACTTCCTTGTATGAAGTAAAAAGGAAGTATTGCAATCACAAAAATTTTCAGGCATCATATTTCAATGAAAGTATCCATTTTGACTGCTATTGAATGCAATTCAACGATGTTTTCGCGTGACATCTGTACAGAATAAAAGACTCTTTTTTCCCCAAAAAATTATAAAACTGATTTAAAATGAATTCTGAAGAGCATTTTTCATGGCGTTTGTGCGTACATACGTATCTCGCGTAACTCAAAAACGAGTAGCCTCAGAACGTTGAAATTTTGTATGTAGGACTGCTATAACATTTAGATGTGCACCTCGTGTTTTGGTTGCAATCAGCGACACCAAAAGTATCTAAGCCTAATGAATTCTGTGATGGCGGCCATGTTTGTTTACATTTCAAACTTGGCAAAATAGTGGATTTGTTGCCAATCTAGAGAACCTAAGCTTCGCAACAACAAAGATAAATAACGCCTTCTTTTATTATTGCAAATTAAATCATGCTTAATCCATTCTGGAACTTATTCGAGGAAATAAGTGTTTCAGATTTACTTCGTAATTTTCAATATAGATATTTTGAGTTATGTATATTTTCCTTGTTGGGAAGTGAGAACTGAATTAATTGACGGAGAAATACTGAATCGTCTGTAAAAAACTGTTTCTTTTTTGTTTTGTTTGCTTAATTTCTTTTATACATCGTTTCAGATTTACTATAGTATTTTAATAGAACATGAGGCAACAATTAGATAATTCTTTAAATGATATAAATTTATATGCATTCTGAGTTATAATATGAATGAAATGTAACACTGCTAAGTGAACCTAGTGCCAGAGTGTCACTATGGTAAACAAATATAGTGAATTTTAAAGAGTGCATAGATTCTATTGTGGTTTATGCGCTATCGATGAAGTAGACTTAATTCAATACAAAAAGTTTAAATTTAAATGCAAGAAAAAATGTGTATAATTTAATATTCTGTGCAAGGAAGTCATGTGGTACACACATCAGATTTTTTGGTACTTTTCCGTTTGGCAGGCGCAAGCGATAAAGTTGCCGAAAATGGCACAGCTGATGCCAAACTGAATATACTCACTGATAACCTTTCACGGCACTTTTTCAAAACAAGTCGCTGCTATTTGTTATCAGATTGATAATTTCTTTCAATATTGGCATATAGTTACATAACTTTTTTAAAATTATAATATTGAAATAATTCTTGCATTTAAACTCGTATTTCATAGAAAGATTTAACTTGAAATTAATGTAGATAATTACTGAGAGAATCAGATTTTTGTAGTGTAGTTTACGCGAGATAAGATCATTTGGTGTCATGTAATATTAACCGCCGAATCAAGATGTTATACCATGAAAGCATAGTAAATTCTTAAATTAACATCTTTTTACAAATATGTCAAAAATGGATGAAAAACAATGCATATTTGGGATTTGCCCAGGACAGAGGAAGAATCTATCAGATTCTTCCAAGTGAAAGGCATTTTGCCCAACATTGCTATTTGTGATAATAATCATGTAATGAAATTATATTTCGGAGATGAAATTCAATGGCGTTGCAACCTTTCAACTTGCCGCAGTAAAAGAAGTATACGGAAAGGCACATGATTTGAATCATCGAGATTGAGTTTCTTGAAGTGTGTAAGATTTATTTATGGTTGGATTTAAGAATTAACTTCAGTTAAATGGTGTGAAAAGCAGTTGGAAATCAATCACGGAGCAGTTGTGGATTGGAATAACTACATGCGTGAGGTTTGTGTGGATTCTTTACTTATGTCAACAATGCAAAATAGGAGGACCTGGTATGATCATTGAAGTGGATGACAGTATGTTCATGAAGCGCAAAAACAACGCAGGACGGATTTTACCACAACAGTGGATCTTTGGTGGAGTTTGTCGTGAAACAAACATTTCCTTGTGAAGGTGCCAAACCGATCCATGACTATTATATTAGACGCAATAAATGAAAATATCAAAAAAGGTACTACAATATATTCCGATTCATGGAAATCATATTGCACTGAAAAACTGGAAGAGGAAAGTTTTGAACATTTCAAAGTGAATCAAAAATACAATTTTGTAGATCCGGAAACTGGAACGTGCACGCAAAAAATTGAAAGACTATAGGGTAGCGCCAAATGGCAGAATAAGAAACACAGAGGTACTGCATGTCATCATCTGGAAAGTTACCTCGCCGAATTTATGTGGTGAAAGGACACAAAAGACCCATTTTTTTTTTTCCTTTGAGAACATACAGACTCCCCGTGCACCACATATGTACAACACGGGGCTTACAGAAGTAAGTTAACTAGAACATTAAAGGTTACATGTATAAATAAACATTAAAAATTACATGCATAAATAAAGCGACAAAAGCAGAGAACAGCAGTCTGGACTTCACGAAAACAGATAAGTTCACTGGCCAAGTCACTCCGAACATTTTCAAATCGTTCTGTAAGCATAATCTAGGGCCATCAAATGTAGGGCACGAGAAAATCAAATGTTCCACATCCTGAGGAACTCTTTTTGAACATTCACATAAATTGTTTGATCGTAGATTAAAACGAAACAGATAACTTGCAAATTTTACCGTGACCAGATAAAAAACTGAGACCACTTTAAAATTTAACGAGAGGAAAGACTCGGAATTCAGTCTATGGTAAATAGAAGGAAGGAACTTTTTGGTGATTTCCGCATTACAAGATGAAATGTATTCCTCATTCCACATAGCTAAAAGCTTTTTATAATGAAAGGACTTCCAATAACTCTTTGGAATGCTAATGTTGATATCAATGGGTAAATTTAAGGCATCTTTAGCTAAGAAATCAGCTCTTTCATTTCCGTAGAAACCATGATGAGCACGCACATAAGCAAAGCAGATATCAATACCTCTAATTCTAAGTGAACTAACAGTTACTAGGGTTTCGATAACTAATTTATCGCAGCTGGTAATACTGTTCAAAAGTTGAAGAGAAGAAAGAGAATCAGAACAAATAAGGTACTTTGAGGATGCTGTCCCATGATCCTGGATCCACTTGACGGCAAGATAAATGCACAGAAGTTCTGTTTAAAAAACTGTACATTCATTCCGTATACGGTGTCTAAGAAAACAAATCTCGGAATTGCCTCAAAAAGAACAAATGCAAGGCCAACCTTGTTGTTCATCTTGCTGCCATCTGTAAAGAAAACCATATGAAAATTTATTTCAGCAGTCTCTTTATAATCGCAGAAATTTATGGGTTCTAAAGAAGCGGGATGAGGAAGATCAGTGAAGGGGACAATTCCATAAATACAGTCTTCCGAAGCATGAGTTGCCAATGACTCAAAAATATTATTCTTATATGCAATTTCAAAATCAATAGGCGGAACTCCTGCAAGAACAAAAGTAGCCTCATAGCTTAAGGTTCTATAACCACTAATAATACGAAGAAGAATTCTCCGTTGAATCTTTCTTAAATTCTTTTGTTTAACCTTCTTGGCATGAACATGTCCCCAAGCACGACAGCCGTACGAAATGAAAGGTACAATACACTGCTTATACAAGAGTTTCTTAACATCGTAGCTAACTCCAAAAGTATTTTTGGCAATTCGGTGAAAGCCATTAATAATTTTTTCACATTTAGCAGAAAGGAATTCAATGTGCTTTTTCCATGTTAATTTTGGTCAAGAATGACACCAAGATATTTAACATTTTCTACAAATTCCAACGGAGAATTATCGAGCATCAAAGAAGCAATATTTTGTTCATCAAACGTACTGGGAACAAGCATAACTTTACTTTTTGAAGGATTGAAAGTGAGTTTATGAGAAATCGCCCAACTGGAGACAAAATCTAGGACTTCTTGTGCTCTCAAAAGAATGTTATTCAAAATCCTTCCTTGGAAAATTAATAGTAAGTCGTCTGCAAACGCAATTTTTAAACAACCGTCGAGATGACTTAAAAGATCATTTATGATTATGTTCCAAAGAGTAGGTCCGGATACAGAGCCTTGAGGACAGCCTTTTTCTAGAGAATAAACCTTAGCTTCGTTGCCAAGCTGAAGCCCAGCTTGGGACCCATTTGAAAACGTTTAAACGATATTAAAATACCCATTTGAAGACCCATAAAAGACCCATTTGAAAAACGTTTAAATGATATTAAAATATTTATGCCTTCAAAATAAAAAAATTATTAGAATTAATATTTGTTAACATTCTTTTATATGAATTCTGTGTGTTGTCGCCAATAAAGTCTGCTTGGCGAGATTTGTGCTGGAGAAAGGGAAATGGCGAGGTTTGCGCCGGCGAAAGGGAAAAGCACCGATTTTTCTAGTTACCTTCTTACGCTAGCATTTGACCAAATGATATTCTACCTCAACAGCTATGAATATTTTAGTTTGACAAATCTAATATTGAGTGCTTAAAGTACAAGTCACCAATAAAGTGCACACAAACATACGACTAACAGAAAAACAAAATTTAAGAAAACCCACAGCATTTAATTATATTATCTGTAACTGAATTTTACAGAGTAACTGCACTTTTTAATTCTTTATGAACAGTCTCTTATAACTCATGTGAACAGTAAAACATATAAATTCATTATTTATTTTTTGATGATTTAATGAATATATAAAATAACTATATGAAAAGAATTTTTATCATCACTGAAAAACTCACCTTTAATTCTTTGAATACACCAAATTTTGAACAAACTGTAGCAATAATAAATAAGACTATTGGCGTTAAAAAAAACTGGTATATACAAGCTTTAACTACTTTGAAGCGTTGCCTGTAACAAAAAGAAAGTTACATTAGGAAACAAAAACATTTAGAACTCCTATAATTTATTTTCTTAAAGAATTGTTCCTGAAATTTACTGAAGTAAACTTTTTGCAGCATATACAAAAAAGATATCCAACATATTTATTATCACAGAAATTGAGTGTAATAGATTTTAATTATATGACTATTAATCAGAGACTTAAATTAATATTTAAAACACTTACAATAGTTGCCAGTTATAATCTTCTTACTCTTATTACACAAACAATGTATGTAAACTTTTTCTTAAATCGTGAAATCTGAACGTTTTTAATTTTAGAGATAAGCTCAAAGACAGATTTCAGAAACATGCTTTTCATGCTAAATTTCTTTCCTTGATGAAGCACTACATTAAGATCCATCTTCTTCCCATAAACATAAAACTAATAAATATTTACAAAAATACACAAACAATGCCAATTAAGATGGGAAAGGTTTCAAAAGAATATAATTAGAATTAAATTTATTCAATAAAATTGAGAGATTCGTGTGAATGCCTTCAAGGAAATAATTTAGCTCCAAATCTTTCCGGTTAATTATAGCTGGGGAAAGAAAAAAAAAAAAAAAAAAAAAAAGATTTTAAGGGGACCATCAATAATTAATCAATAAGTTTTCTGTTTATTTTATTTATTTATTTTTTAAAATTAGATTCATACTTTGTAAGGTGATAGAAAAAATTGGTTTGAAATATGGAGAAGGCAGTGTTTTTGCAGCATGGAAGCAAATAAACGTTGCTGAAATAAAAGTTGGTGGATGGGGAAGAGAGGAGCAGAAAATGCTTGGATATATATCCCCTGAAGAATTTTCCCTAAAATTTAGGATGAAGATGGACTAATTCACACTCTCACCTCACTCAAAAACCTAAGCCAATAGTAACCTTTGCTTCTTGGCCATCATAAAATTCATAGACCTGATAAGATGTTACTGTCACACATGTGAGATAAGTTATAACAATATCAATACATAGATTTATGCTCCTTAACATAAAATTTTACAGCAATCTTTAGTATCATTACTGCATATTGCACTACAATGACAAAGAACATTAAAAACTCCCCAAAATTAAAACTTGATATTAGAATTGGCAAGTTCGTAAATCTCGAATCCCATGCATGAATCTCAGATTTGAATTTTTTAACCTTTTTAATTTTAATGTTTGCAGTTCTAACCAACCAAAAACATTTCAATTTAGAACTTAAGAAAGATTATCTTATTTGAGGTACAACAGAAATTCCTGCTGAAAAAAAAAGGGGGGACGCAATTATTTCTCAGTGGAATTTACCATTCCAGGAATAATGCTTATCTGTGCTATTTATTTCCTCTTTACACTTACTTAAAATGATTCTGGAAAGATGTAAACTATTTCAACTGCTACTCAAATATTTTTTGCTGACTATACAGAGAAAATGAATATCAGATTTAAGAATTTTAAATTACATACTTCATTTACTGAATTTTAAATTTCTACCTTTCCAGTAATTATCAGAGTAACTCTTAAAAACAGTATCCTTAACTTTGTTATTTGTGAAAGGCAGATTTTAAATTTTGTTTGAATTAAAAATTTTTTAATATCAAGACTTTTTTTTTCTTTCTTAATATTCTCACATGAAAGATTAGAGATACTCAAGAACATTCAAAGATTGAAAATATTCGTGAACAGTTGAAGGCCTGCAGAAAAATGCGAAACATTCTACATTTTGGAAATGAAAAAAACCTGAAAGCTGAACTTGGAGAAAAATAATAACCTGGAAACAGAACCTTCTGAGTTTACCTAGTCACAAAAGCTATCCAAAGCGCTGGGTAATTTTGTAATGAAATCCGATCACAGAACTGCTTTTGATAACATATAATTAAAATTAGGCAATGGTGTAATGTGGTCATTATTTCATTACTTATCCTAAGAGTACAAATCCAAGCAGATAATAAAACACAAAATTATATTTTTGAAATAAACTAAACAAAATTTTAATTTATTGTTAGAAATACTTTTTTATTACAAATATCAAAATTCGTTACTTTGAAAATGGTAATTTAGGACAGCACCAACACACACAACAACACGGTGGACCTCGCAGAGGAATCAGTTTATCCTCTAACCTTTCCAACAAATGCCTTTCCTTAGATGCATAGCCAATTACTACCCAGAAGAACAATACTAATGGTGCAGGTAAGCATCTGAAAAAGAATTTCAGTACATAAAACATGCAATAAAGTTAATTTTACACAAATTAATAAAAATTACCTGTAAGTTATCCCTTTATATTAATTTTGTGTTCTTTTAAAAAAAATCTGTAAATTAGTAATTTTTATTTTTAAATTCAGACATCCAATAAAGGTGTTATATAAATAGCTTATTGTTTCACAATCAACAGGTTTTAAACCCTGAAACAAATATTGGACATAACATGGTACTTTCTTATTATCATAATGCCAAAAGCCCTCTGTTAATGGACTGCATCAAAACAGTAACCCTTCTCATAGCTGTTCTTGTGAATGACAGACTATAAGGACAATGATTAGGACTGAAAGTCATTTGGTGACTGTTTGTAATCAGCTCTTAGTAGAGCTGTCGGTTTAGCCCATCATATTAACAAGGACTCTTGGCATTATTTAAATAATAGGTACATAATAAGGAAGTAACCATAAAAATATATTCATAATTATAAATAGATGACTTGAATACGGTGAATGGAGAAAATAATCCCAACAATGCTGGTTAATGCAGTAAAGGAAAACTATAGGCTCGTTTCTATAGCATGGGATAGGTTAATTTTTATGGCCTTTCAATAGTCTCCAGTATTATTTCAAATCCTTTTTCATCAATGTGACAGCTTCATAATGTTATCAGCAGTCTCAAATCTGTCAAAATCAAGGATGAAGCAGTGGACTACAAATGCAATGTTATGAATTTACGTGATAATGAACACCTCATATAAAAGTATGCATAAGTTTAATGAATAAATCAAAGGCGAGCATTGAAGTCAGCAGAGAGTTTCCCTAACCGTTTATAGCAAGCAGGTTGATTGCAAAAAAGAAAAAAAAAAAAAAAAAGGAACTACAGGAGGCAGGGCACTACCATGTCCTTGGCACTGCCATGGAGACAAGGAATTACAATGGTGTGGTCAATCTATGATGCTTTCCTTCCATGCAACTTCATGCAGAGTACATATCATTTTGCACTTTGTTCACTTAGTCTTTCATCCAGTTTTTAATTTATTCACAGATCTAAGAATCCAGATTCATCATCTTTATGATCATATCATTTCAGATGCATTAGCATAGGAAGAAAGCAATGTACTGCAGTCTCCCATTATAGATAGTTGTTCATCCAAAATGTCAAAAATGGTCATAAAACTGAGGCTGGTTTCACAAACACAAAAACATTTATAAACTAACAATCAGGTACACTACTATGCATCTTAGATGACAGGTCTCCCAGGCCTAAACATTACTCAAATTTTCCTTTACTACATACATGTTCAGATACCTCCTTCTGCATTTCACTGTAATGCATCATTTCCACAGACTTGCAAATGTGTCTGGTAACATTCCTTTTCAGCTCTTCATTTCAATTTTGTAACAAGAATGTTACTCAAACTTGGAACACACCTCATTCTATTCTGCACTGTGTATGTAACATTAATGGCTACATATAGCAGATGGAAAGGAAAATGCCCATTACGTGACAGAAAGAGGAAGGTTCAACTTTGACAGGATTGTATACATTATTATATATTAGAAAAGGTATTATATATTAGAATTATTATATATTAAAGGTAAAACTTACAGAACAACTGTGGTTGTTGTATATTCAGTAGCACGAGGGACCAATAGATTTAGGAAGAAGCAGGAGCCAACAATCTAGTTTTGTAAAAAAGAATAAGATTATTATTTTCACTGGTATGAGTTTAATCACTTTTACACATAAAATAATAAGTTTCAAAAATTAATTTTCATACTTTTTTCATAAAATTCAAAATTAATTCACAAAAATGAAAACACACTAAAAAATGTCTCCCTTTCATGTTTTTGCCATTTAATCAGCAACTGAAAAGTAAAATGAGAGGAAAAAAATGCAGGATTGGGATACAATTTTATACAGATTTTGAAAGGTGCTTTGAAATGATTATGGAATGAGTGATATTTGTGTAAATGGAATATGAGAATTTTCAAAGCCAAAGCATAAATAATTCTCTTCTCAAAACATAATTTCATTTATTTGGGGGGGGGCTGAAAAACAATTTTCTTAGCTTCTGCTAACTAGTAGCTTGCTCCGCTCTTCACAGCTCAGACGAAACCCTATTAGTAATGCATGGCAGTAATAATAAGGCTAAGGTTCACTATATCCTTTATTTTTAACTAAACAAAAAGCAAAAAAATTTATGCATTGACACAAGCAACTGTCCAAGATCTACCCATTAATTTCTAAATTTGAAATCATCAAGCAACAATGTATCTTTAATAGTAATGATTTTACACAGGAAATACTATTTCTGAAAACAGCATTGAAACTTTATACTTTGTTTTCTAGCATATAAAAACTAAAGTAGTGCTCCCCCCCCCGACTAAACTGCCTACAACATACTGAATCACCAGATAGCCCTGCACAGATTTATTTTAAATCTAATCTTAAGATTAAATTGCCTTCATTAAATTTTATTACCTTGGTTTTAAACTGATAATTTTAACTGACGGTTTAAAATACACTAAAAACAAAAATATTCTTACAGGAAAGATGCTGAGACATCCAAGTTTCAGAAAGAAGAATTTAACAGGCCAGTGACGATACAGATAAACTAATTCTTCTATGTATATGCAATACATGCCTGTAGTCACAATTCCACCTAAAATCACTAGACCTATACTCAGTTCTCCTAAAGCTAAAATGGAAGAAAGAAGTTAGAAATCAGTATAATTTATAAGTCAATAAATACACATTACCGCAATGAACTACTTTTTAATACTAGTTAAAACATTCCCCGAAATATAGGTGTGAACTTAGTGATCAGATTTTGGTGCGACTGTATGGACAGAAAATTCAAGGTGGCAAGGATAGCAACAGTAATAAAACATATCATTTTCAAGCAATGCATCAAAAGACATAATTAATAGTAAATGGACTTTATTAAAAATCATACTGAATTAAAGAACAAACATTGGGTTGATAAAGAAACATTGTACACTGAGGTAAAAAAAAAGGGGGAGAACAGTTGCATATCCTGTTTTGGACCAATTGACGAAATTCAATTTGGATTTTTCATGTCTTGAAAGCGTGACTTAGGATATATATTAGATTTACATATAGTATTGTTCTAATATAGGTATTTTGACACAAAACCGGACTTTTTCCAAAATGACATACCAACAAAATGACTCTTGCATATTTTGATCCTCAGTGTTAATTGAATTTGGCATATATTTACTAGCATCTCTTTTTTATTAAAGTGGATTTATTTCTAGGCATACGTGCAAAAAATTTAAGATTTTTTTAATTCAAAATTTTGCAATATATATGTGAATTTATATATGTTTTGAATTTTGTTTATTTATGTTTTGAAATTTGTATATTTGTTATAAGCGACAGTAATACTAAATGTGGTTTATACACTTTATTATAATCTTATATATATACTGAATTCCAACAGTTAATGTGAACCTTAAATTTCCAATTAAGCTTTTACTGTGAATCATTCATGCAGAATTTCTTAATTTTCAATTTTATTAATAATGCCTACTAAAATATTTGTTAATAATACATCAAAAGCTATCTTTTAAATTTATATAGAATATTAATCAAAAGGACTTTTTATTTCCTTTCATAATAGTTAAATTTTTACCTTAGTTATTTTATTGTCTGCTATATTATTTAACTGCATTTTATATGCAAAGAAATTTATTTTACTGAATTCAAAATTGTGCATTATATATGCATTCAATACTTTTGGGTATATCAAACAATATGTTAAAAATATAAATAAAAGATGCTTTCTTTTACTACAGAAATGTTTAACAGCCACAAAATTATTTACACATTTAATTTTGAGCAACTTAAATAATTAAATAAAAATATATAAATAAATATTTCATTTTATTAATGCTTTAATGACTTTCTTCCGACACTCTGCAGATATATCTGCAATTATCCTCCCTTTTTTATTCACTAGTACTGTCATAAAATGCCCAGCTTCCACGTAAAGCAGCAAGGTTAGGGTTACCAGAAAGTGGCAGGGAAAGGCAGGTTGCCATATTTGGCAACAAAATTAGCAATACTCCACAGACAGAGCTAGAAAATTCTAAAACACATCCTTAGCAATTTTTCTCAGGAATGTTCTTGAAGGTAGGTTAAAAGCTATATATACCTAGGTTAAAAGCTATATATACGCTGAGTAGTGGTAATACGTTGAGTTCAGCAGTAGCGTCTTGAGTACAGAGATTAGCTCAAGAGCAGTCGACCGAGTCGGAAGCTGTGCTTTAGTGCTTTGCCATGAAGGTGTCTTGACTGTTATAACCTGAAGGCTGTGCTGCTGATTGTTTCAACGTATTTGTAGTAGTTTTTTGGCAAATGTATCGCATCTTGAGAACTGTCCTGTGTAATACTTATGAATAAAATGTGTTTTGATTTTTCATCAAGTGTTATCTTCAATCACTCCAAATATGCAACAATACTCACTCTTGAAACAGCTTTTTTATCATGACATGCATCTGTAAATACAAACATTACACGCCCTATGTTAAAAGTATAGTAAACCAAATAGTGGCCAGCCCATTGTTTGGAATTTAGCCTCAGGTTGAACTACCAGTATTCAGCAATTTAATCAATTCTTTCATTGGTGAAGAGAAGAATTACAAGGTGCCAAACTGTGATATAAAACAGAAATGAGAAGAGTACTGTTTCTACACTGGGCACAGCATTCAAAGAAATTACACTTCCTTGCTATGCCTTTCTTACTACATCAAAGCTTTTGAATGGAAAATACAGATCAAAATGAAATTATGATTTTATAACTATGACTGTCGTAAAGTTTTTCATTTACAATCCCAACAATATTTATTTATTTATTTTTGAAATAAATATTTTAGGTACTTCATATCTATCTATACCAGTGGTTCTTAACTTATTTTCCCCTATGCACCCCTTTCACTACTGCTAGAAGATCATTCTCCACTTCCTCCTTCCCAAAACTAAAAAAAAAATGCACATGCTTTCATTCAGATTTTGATTATTTTTAAAGAGCCTCTATAAATGAAAAAAAGAAAAAGCAAATGTTGATAAATGCCAAAATTTAAATATTTTTTTTTATATCCATAAACTAAAACTACATTCATATGCAAAATTAAAAGAATTCATAAATTATGTCTAATTCTACGAAAAGTACTGAACCATAGGCATTAATTCTGCCCCTGAAGAATCATGCAAATATTCAAAGTCAAATAGGTAAGTGTACATGTTGTGTCTGTGAAGTTGGGATTATGGAGGAAATATAAATATACAAGGGGTTTTCACTGATTTGCATGTCGCACTCCTTCACAACATTTGCCATGTTTCTCGCAAGAGTCAGGTAAATTTTATAAGGTATCAAGAAAAATGAGTAGCCACAAACATATGGATGGTGGAATGAGATGGAGAATTATTGGTAGATTGGAGACTGTCCAATCGTAAAGTGCAGGTGCCAACAGAACTGAATGTAATGCCCAGTGTCTACAATTTGTGGAAACAGTTTCAGAACACTGGATCCATATTGAGAAGACCTGGACAAAATCCACAACAGCGAATGAGGATCGTTACTTGGAACTTTCAGCATGGTGAAACAGAACTGCTACAGCTCTCACGTGAACTGTATGCTGCCACCAGAATCTGAGTTTCATGGTCTACAGTTAGCTGAAGATTCCATGAGATAAGGCTATATGCCAGAATACCTGCTGTTTATGTTCCACTCACTGCAGCACATAGAAGAACGTGTTTAGCATGGTGCAGATAACATATGCCTTGGACCAGACTTCAGTGAAGCACCGTGTTCTTTACAGGTGCATCGAGATTCAGCCTGGACACTGATTCTCTGCAAACCTGTACTTGGAGAGAGCCTGGAACACGAATAATTCGGGGAAAAAGATCATTGTTGTGGTGGAGGTTTAATGGGTTGGGCAGGCATTATGTTGGATCGACTCACACCCCTGCATGTGTTTGACAAAGGCTCTTTGACTGCTATGAGGTTATAAGGTATTTTCTCTCTCTTTCTAGCATGATTTCGTAGCATACTCAGTGCATATTTGAGAAGTCCAGGTTGGAGTCCTGCTAAGCACATTTTCATTTTTCAAATGTTCTGCTTCAAAAGAACCTAATAATTCTACAGTGGTGCATTGGTCCCCTAATCCCCAGTTTCCCTTTAAAAGAGGGAGTATATAAGGTATTTTCTCCCTCCTTCCAGCATGGCTTCGTGGTATAATGGTAGCACACTCGGCGCATATTCTATAGGTCCAGGTTTGAGTCTCGGCAAGGGCATTGCTCATTTATCATGTCTCCAGCATCAAAATAAGCTAATGACTCTATAAGGTACAGAGAAGAAATCTTACAGCCCTGTGTTTGATTTTTCAGGAGTGCAGCTGTTCCTGCATTTCTGTTAATAGATATCAAAACTTGTCCACACAGGGCTTAGTTTATTGTTGATTGATAATTTATTTAATTGGCTGATGATTACCTGGAAAATGAGGATATTTACTGCATAGATTGGCAGTCAGATCTCTGATCTTAATCCAATAGAGCAGGCATGTTTGGGACACTTTGGGGAAGATAATTTTATCTCACCATTCCCCTCTGAGAAATATCTTGTTCCAAGAGTGGAACTGATTACCACAGAGACTCCTCAACTGCCTTCTGCCCATTGCACAACGTGCAAGATAGTGTCTTAAAAGTGATTCTGAACGAGTTCTCCACAAGAAAATCCATACTTTTGACAATGAAACCAATTTTTACATTTACATTCTGGAAATTTAGTATATGTAATATATAATGTATAAGCAAATGAAACATTTTAAAATGTTCCCATGTGTAAATTAATATTTTCCTATGTCGTCAAGCTGGGTTATTTCTTACACTGGACTTTTTTTATGTAATCTCTATTTACTGCATTAATTTTTTAAAATTTTTAATGTGGTGCAAACAATGTATTTTATACCTACTTCTTTCAGAATATTTTTTAATCCATTTTCTTTTATGCCATTCCTATCTTCCACTCAAAAACAGGTTTGAGTGTAATTAAAAATACATAAATGAAAATTATTATATTAATTTATTCAACAGCCCATCATATTTTTAGTTCTACAAACTTAAAATTTCAGTAGCTTCAAAAATAAAAAATTCAATAGCTTTCCTGTTAGTGCATGTGATAAAATGGAGAGAAGGAAAATGATTGAAACAAAAACTAATTTTAAAGGTGCCATCTAACAAACAAATAAATAACTACAGCAGCAGATTGTATACTACCATCATTACTTAAAATTTTAACCCAAGCATGCAAAGGTATGTGCTAGACTGATTTTCCCTTTCCTCTTTCCATGAAAAAACTATTTCTTACCACCAACCAGAATAAGAATTAAAAAATTAGGTATAAGCTCCTGGAACGTATCCAAAATAGCAGGAAGTTCTTCAGGAAAGCAATAACTAGTGATGAATTCTATATTTTCCAATTTGATCCAGAAACAAAATTTGAAAATTGGAAGTGATAAACCACCTTTCAAACAAGGAAGAAGGGGAATAGCTACATATGAATCAATGTTGATTTGATTTGCTTTTCCAACATTCTGAGGATTACTCACATGGAATTCATGTCTCAAAGACAAATTGTCAATTCTTATTACTATCTTCCAAAGGCTTAAAAAACAAGTTACTCACATGCAGTTAAGAATTAGACGCATTCAGATGCTGCACCATAATACTGCTCCTTGTCGCACAACCAGAAGCATCTTCTTAGAGCATGCAATATACGTGTTGCATGCCTAGAAATTTAAATTTGAAAAAAGAATTTATTATTTTTTAACTAAATCACGTAGCAAAATTTTTATTACCATATTTACTCGCATATCCCCTTGCATATTTTCCACCTAGCTTTTTAGCATAAAATTCTTACTTTAAAAAAAAAATATTCATGTATTCGTCTCTCCTCAAGGCATTCAGAACGAGAGCTCATCTAAATTTTAAAACGGATCGATCTACATGTCTTACTGATTTGCTCGTGGGTTTTGGATCCATGGGCTTGACTGATGGAGTTATAGCAGTGAAGAGCTTCAAGAAAATGGGATATCTAATGTTCCTGATAATTCTGAAGATCACTGCATGTGGAATGACAGACAGACCAGTGATGAAAATCAGGTTAACAGCTTGTAAGCTGTAACAGATGACACAGACAGCAGTTCCAGAAACATTAAATTATTAGAGGCCGCAGAAGCAGCAGTGGACAACAATAAGAATAGGGTGGGTTTCAAGATATAGGGATATAGAAATGGAGACATCATATTCGATATTGTAATGTTAATATTACTTTCTATTCTTATTACAATGTAGGTTTCTTTCAAATAAATAATACTGTTACTGGCAGTTTTTATCCATGAATAGTTTTCCTTTATCATATTCTAACTATAAACATATTATCGTATTCTAACTATAAACATACCCTTCGAAATTAAATTATTTGGAGAATTTTCCTCTCGCGACTTTCATACAATAAAATTAGTATGAAGGGGGGAATACATACGGAAATTATTTGGGTACTATTCGGTTTCGAGGGTCGTAAAAAATCGCTAAACCATTGTTGATGCCAATGCTGCGAAAAATGATTGCGGCAACCCTAATAATTGCGGCAAGAAAGGAAATATAATAGTAAATAACTATCTAAGATGGATGTTTTAATTTAGATGAAAGGTAAATTTCATATAATACTTTTTTATTATTATACTTTATATGAAAAAGGCTAAACATGACTGAATGGAAGCATAAGCATAAATAACTATTTCAGATCATTATTATAATTTATATAAAAATTGCTAAACATAACTGAATGGATGCCTGCATCACTATTTCACTACCGACTTATCGCTAAAGCATAATTTTATCTCGTTGGTTGTTCAAACGTAATTTTCTATATTAATGCCTTTTCGTTGAAAATATTCTCAGCAAAGTGCAGAATCGTTCACTTATTTGTTTGCCGCTTCTTACAAGGGTAAAAACAATTGTATTTTTATCAATTTTCTTTTAATTCTTTAGTGAAAATAGGTCGATGTGTACATAGATAAAGTCAAGGGTGTGTGCAGTGCTATTTTTGTGCAATTCTAGTATTTTGTTTTAAGTGAAAATAGGTCGATGTGCACATGGATACCGAGTATGAGCAATTCTTAAAAACGCATCAAGCAGTGGGTGATTCTGCACTTTACCCAAAATTTCATTGCCGACTTTTCGTCATGGGCAACTCCCAAATTGTTAAATCCATAGGATATCAAAAAAGGATTTAAAAATTAAACTAGTATTTCAATTGCATCTTAAGAAATATAGAACTATATAAACTTTCACAATCTGAAATCAGCGCAGACGCTAGATTTGGCGCACTGTTAAACGGGCACGTTTGCTAGATTTGGCGCTTTTGAGCATACATTTTCGCTGCAATTATTTTACAGCCCTCAAAACAGAATAGTACCATCCTTTGCAATGAATAACAAATTTTATTCAGGAAATTTAAAATAAAATGAATTATGCATTATTGTAACTTCTTAGTTTCTGCCACTAAGAGATTGTGCATGCTATCAAGCTACAGCATTGGCTAACAAAATATTTTACATGGGCAAAAAGGAAATTCTTTCTCTTCTTTCTACAACATACCAGACTGGGCGATATTCATCCTGGACTGTTAGAAGAAAGTCTTTTTCATCCCAAAATTTAACACAGTTTATTATTGTGTGCATATGAGTTCATAATAGTTTGAATGCATATGGAACCAATAATAGCTTGATAAAATGTATTTGCCCCAAACATTCACTTTCCAGTTCTAGAACCTTTCACAAAAGTACTCATACATATCTTCTCAGTACACCACAGCATAATTGGTAGTTACCACATAAAACTACTAATAATGTTAAACATAACAAAATGCAAAGCACATCCAAAGAGCTAAGCTCACGTGGATATATCTCAACACTCAGAACTCAATGCTAAACTAAACAACTGATGCTCTCCTGGCTTATATAGTTTCCTCCGGCTGCTCAGAAATTTCTAGTACCTTCTATTTCTCAAAAATACTGGAAGGCATATATGGTTAAAGTTACATATAAGGGCCAGATAGGGTTACAGTTACATAAAAAAACTAAACTCAGTGGCACAACAGCCCTAATGGGCCAAGGCCTGCAGTGCCCGAAATCTGTTTTCTTGGTGGGCCACGGGGTACATAAACACATGCCCTGAACAAGTGAGCTTGTTGCAGGACTCCCAGTGTTTAGTCTCCAAGCGAACTTGGTTCTCATTTTATCGACCCAAGTGATGGAAATCAAGGGATGGAAGGCTGTGTCGACCTTGCCCAGCCTGGGAATCGAAGGTCGGACCTGTGGCGCTGCTGCGCGATGCGCTAGCCACTGGACCATCGGGCCTCCAGTTACATACAGGGATCAATTACACAGGGACCAGACCCAAATGTCACCAAATGGTCTCCAAATTTAGCAACTTCTGGTGATTTCTCACCAAATTTCGTAACAAAAATTAGTCACAAAAACCATCACCAGCTTGATGGTATTTTGACAATTTAGAGAGATAGCCATGTCACCAAATGGTCTCCAAATTTAGCAACTTCTGGTGATTTCTCACCAAATTTCATAACAAAAATTAGTCACAAAAACCATCACCAGCTTGACGGTATTTTGACAATTTAGAGAGATATCCATTTACCTCAATGTTAAAGCATCTTTCTAGAAATTTGAAGAATGACTGAAAATGAAACAGATGTGCTTTCAAAGGACATTTTAACATATGTTCAGTATTTTTTCTGTCTTTCTACGAGAAAGAAAATTGCTTAAAAATGATAAACCTTAAAAAGCACATTTTCAAATTAGGCAATTCAAGAAAATTAACTAGTTAATAGATTATGATGCTGAACATTAGCTAAAAGATAAGAAAAGGATAAGCTTTAGATAGATAAGCTTAATATACGCTTTCTTTTGATATATTAAGTTCCTGGCAAAAATAATGTGTTGAATAATTTATAAATTTCAGTGAGCTATTAACATTTATTTGAAGACTGAAAAATCTCATTATAATTAGGGCCTAAGTTTTGCCAGTCTGTTTCTGGTACATCTCAACTTTTGAGTAAAATTGTAACACTAGCCACAGCACACTGAAGCTCCTAATAAGATGAGTTCTGGTATTTTGTTGTGCAGTTCAGTCACAATACAAACAGAAAATTCTGTAATTACACAAAATTTTATTCAGCAGATAGTTAGACTGATACTGACACTGGGCACTGTAGGAATGCCTCGAATTTCCTAGGAACAGCAAATACAATACAGGCAACCTACATTTTTATAAAGGGCTCAAAATAAATATTAAAAAATAATACAATATCAACAGATTAAATAATTATTATTTATTGACATAAACTTCACTGGCTTTCTGAAACGTCAATGTTGATTTCCAGCAGAAACTGTTTTGCAATGGCTTGATGACAGACATAGAATAAAACTTTTTTATTCACAATTTTCTTTCTTTCGCCAAATGAATTCTGCTAAGTATGATAGTAAATGTTATCGGGCAGTTCCTCATTGTTGTCCATTCTTTTTCTTGCTTGACCCCCACAGGCACTCTACTGTCTGTATATGAATGCCAGTTTTTTGGTCTATAAAGCAGAATTAAGTGATTTACTTTTAAGTGGGAAAAGCCTGCTCTTTTGAGAGTCTCTATCTTACATGCCTTCCAAAAGTCACAGTGAATAATGGATGCTTTATTCACATTCAAGAAAAGACTAGAATTCTCAAACCAACTGCCTTTCTGATTATGCTGATTTGATTCTTAAATGCATGACATCTCCACCTATTTCTGTCTTTTTTTGATAATTAAAATGATATTATGGAGAATGGAGTATTTTTACCCTAAAGAGATAATACCACATGGTTGAAAATACGCTAGTGAATCTGCTTTGTTGTTTGGAAGACCAAAAAGAAACATCATTACAATGATGAAATTTCACAACCACAAACCAACCTCAAACCAACTGCCTTTCTGATGATGTTGATTTGATTCTTACATGCATGACATCTCCACCTAGTTCTGTCTTTTTTTAATAAATAAAATGATATTATGGAGAATGGAGTATTTTTACCCTAAAGAGATAATACCACATGGTTGAAAATACGCTAGTGAATCTGCTTTGTTGTTTCGAAGACCAAAAAGAAACATCATTACAATGATGAAATTTCACAACCACAACAAAATACAAGAAAAAGATGACAATGACAATATAATAACTTAAGATATTTACAGGTTACTTATGATTTTCTTCTCTTCTCCGCATATAACTGGCTATTTGTTTGGGAAATTTGTTTAGATTGTGGGCATGTAATGGAAAAGTACCAATTTTGTTTTCAACATATAAATTAAATTATCTAAATTCTTTAGATCTGCTACCCTTTAGATCGTATCTGTATTCACGATTCAAAATCACTTACCTGCCACTGCTTCTTCCATTGTAGGAATGTACTCAGTCTCCAGAAGATACGAACAGTTCATCATTTTCAGCACCCATTGTTAAAACATTTTAAAATATACCAAATATCCATCTATAAACAAACAAACAAAAAAAAAAAAAAAAAAAAAATTAATTCCACACATTCAGATAAAGCATGAAAAGAGTTTTCCACCTTTTTTTTAAATACAAATTTAATACAATACAGAAAATTATAATTTAAAAAATAAATACACCCCAAAAAAAGCACATTATCAAGCTAATGACACAATCTAATTACAACTGAATAATAAGCTCTGACAAACAGATACTTTAAGACTAACAAATAGTAACTTTATCTATGAAAAGAAGTTATGAACAACACAAAAATGTAGTTATACCAAGTTTACATTTTTGTATATGTGATGAAATTTAACAACATGGTAAGTTCATTCTTATTCGTACAATGACTAGTAACACTATCACTTTAATGATGATTAGGTGAAGTAGAATTTTTTAGCACCAATCTGAGACAAAATAATTTAGACAATATACTCATGATCATGAGTCATGATGATGCCAGTTTTTGATGCACAAGAGATTAATGGCAAAAATATCAGAATATTGCTCTAAATAAAGAACTCTGCACATCATTTCAACATGGCTTATTTTTACACTGCCTGTTTCTACTTCATCATCATTCTAAGCATCACTTTCATCACTGTAATTCTTATCGATTGATAAGGTGAACTTTTTTTTTTTTTTTTTTGGGGGGTCACTCAGTACTTGAAAACTTAGTTCACTGTTTTCTAAATTTACCCAGTCAATACTACAAATAAACTATATTCTTCATTGTAAAACAGAACAGGAAAGATCAATTCTGATAAGAGAATTTGCAAATGTTACCGATTTTCACAGTACTCTTTTGAATGTTACTATGTTTTATCCGTGATTTTTTAAATTAATTGTCAGCTCAATCAACAGAAAGCGTGAATGATGAAGGCTCAGGTTATAGAGCTTATATTATATTTTGAAAATAAGGAAACTCTTTTAGTCATTCCATTTGTCCTTCTTGAAACTTTGAAGCTCACCAGTTGCCTAGCTTCTGAATATTGGTAGTTCAACTCAGGTTCAAAACTCAAAGAATGGACTACTTGCATAGGTTATTTTTGTAGTTTCTCCATGTGCAATGTAAATAACAGCCATTGTCCTTAAAAATCCTCCCTTCTTTTTTCACTTTATTAAAATAGGACAAAGCCCTTGCACGTTTTGCCCTGTTTAATGAAGCAATAAATAATCCTTATATGCTCTCAGCTGTTACAAAAATTTTAAATGCAGTGTTTTAACAAAGCAGTATGTTAGGAGTTGTAAGTGACTTTTATTGACACAAGTAAAGAAGATAATTTAAAAGGAAAAAATTCTGAATTAAAATTTTTATTTAGAATTCAAAATACATTTTAAAGCATTGATAGGATGGCCTAAAATTATAAATAATGCATAAAACATTACAGAAATGTATTTTAAAAATAATATTTCATGATTTCAGGTGCTACTGATAATTCATTGTTCAGTTTGATACAAATATTCATGATCTTTTCATTTTGTATGATTTAGTAGGATCTATATACTGAATACGTCCTCCTGTACGTTTTAGGAGCACTCACTCCAAAACAGTCCTTGTGACAACTGCTTTTAGAAAAATTTCTTTATATTTCATCATGACAGTGAGCATTAACATTTTTTACATTCTCCACATTTTGTCATTATTTAAGACGTACAAATAATCAAATAATAGTGGAACAGGATACAATCAAATAATAGTGGAACAGGATAAATAAAATGATATTATGGAGAATGGAGTATTTTTACCCTAAAGAGATAATACCACATGGTTGAAAATACGCTAGTGAATCTGCTTTGTTGTTTGGAAGACCAAAAAGAAACATCATTACAATGATGAAATTTCACAACCACAAACCAACCTCAAACCTCATACTTGTTTCGGTTGATCTTTACATTACGGTAACTGGTAGTTTGGCGACATTTTGGAGGCAATAAAGGTTACTACCTGGGACTTTGGTAATAATGTGAGCAGTACTGAGTTCCGATTACGCATTATTTTGTGTGGGGGAAATGAGAGATCATGGGATATGTCATGTGATATTAATGGACGAATTACAGTTCTTTAATCGGAAAGGGGGGAAATCGGGAAAAAAATCTGGAAATTTTTATTGCGTTTAGCATTTTGGCTTTAGCTTCATAGTGTGTTGTGTGAAACAGTGTTTGATTGAATTTTTGGATCCCATGGCCCGTAAGTAAAGTGAATTCGAAATGGGTATTTAGTGGTATTGAAAAGGATAGTAAGAAATGTTTTTAAGGTTGTGTGAGAGAGAAATAAAACATGTTTTATTATGTATTTATTTTACCTGGTATCTTGCTTTGAAAGATAAGTATGATTTTAAAGATTCTGAAAGAGAATGAAGAAAAGTGTATCCGCCACATAATGAAGATTCTGAAGAGAGATTAAGGAGATTAGGTAAGTTAGTTATTTTTAATTTTTTTATGCATTGTTGGAAATGTAAGGTGGTAAGGTGGAAAGGAATTTGGTATTATTGGGAAAATTGTTATTAGCAATGATTTAGTTTAAAGTAATTAGGATTGTAAGGTAATTTTTATTAATTGAATGTATGTGCTCATGTATATTTTAAGTGGTGTTTTTAAATTTAATTATATTTTAATGAAATGATAGTTATTTTGTGAATTTTATACTTGTAGGAATTTGGTGTATGTTTAAGTTGAAATAAATGTGCATGGAAATAATTTAAATATTTGATAATAAATATTTGTAATGCTTCATGTATGAATTCGTTGGTGACGTGTATAATGTAATAGATGATTTAGAGGTAAAAGTTTTTGGATATTTTATTTATTTTATATGTGGAATGTTCATATTTGTAAAGGGTAAATACTTTTTCGCGATCATGTAATTTCATATATGTTTTTTACCGGGTTTAAAGATTGAGAAAATTGTCATGTATTTTCGTGAAATTTTTTTAATTTATGAGATAAAGCAGTGTACATGGATATAGTGAAGAGTGTGCGCAATGCCATTTTTGTGCAATTCTGGGATGTTTTTTTTAAGTAAAATAAGTCGACGTGTACATGGTTCAGTGATATTTTAATGAAATGATAGTTATTTTGTGAATTTTATGCTTGTAGGAATTTGGTTTACGTTTAAGTTGAAATAAACGTGCCTGGAAATAATTTAAATATTTGATACTAAATATTTGTAATGCTTCATGTATGAATTCGTTGGTGACGTGTATAATAAATAGTGATTTAGAGGTAAAAGTTTTTGGATATTTTATTTATTTTATATGTGGAAATGTTCATATTTGTAAAGGGTAAATACTTTTTCGCGATCAGGTAATTTCATATATGTTCTTTTTACCGGGTTAAAGATTGAGAAAATTGTCATGTATTTTCGTGAATGAAATTTTCGAATTTATGAGAAAAAAGCAGTGTACATGGATATAGTGAAGAGTGTGCGCAATGCCATTTTTGTGCAATTCTGGGATGTTTTTTTAAGTAAAATAAGTCGGCGTGTACATGGTTTATGTGTATGTGTTATTTTGAAAACGCGTAAGGTGTATGGTATTGTGCACTTTTTCCAAATTTTGCAGTGAAAATGAATATTTTTCATGATAAGCAGTTTTGTTTGATAAAATTTCTAGCATAAGTGTAATTCGGCTAGTAGATTGTTGGAAGAAGTGTTCAGTAGATAAGAAGAAAAGAAACATGTCTTTACTTCGTGAAGACAAAATGGCGGCGGGGAAAAAAAATAGAGGGTTGCTGTAGGGGAGTTGGTCGCCAAATTTTTCGCCAAGTTACCGTAATGTAAAGATCAACCCTTGTTTCAAAGATCAAGCTGCACTGTTCACATATACTTCTAAGTATTTAAACGCATATAGAGTTGAGCAAAATCTTCTGGTAAAAACTGAAAAACATTTTACACTAGACACACACTAATGGCACAAAATAAATACTGTCGGCAATTTTATATTCTGCAAGGTATTCAGAAATACATAAAATGACAAATCTTACTTGTTAAGATTTTTTTTGGAATGCTATATTGATCACCTTTAGTTATTTCTCTAATAAACATTACACTATTTCTAAACGTTACTTTCAAAGTCATTAGCATACATCTACCATATTTACACTCAGTTGTTTGGTAGCAATCTATAATAACGAAAATGCCTAATAAATACAGAAACCGCTTTAAAATGTAAAAGACACTAATATTATATCCAAGGCCAAATTATACATGAAAGACAATTACTGACTAGTTATAATTACATACTCAATTGTTATTATAAAAAGTATTAACATTAAAAACGATGTTACCTATATAATGTATATTTTTACAATGCTTTCAACATATCCAAATGAAAGTATATATTTTCTCACCGATTTTTCTTAAATGATGTGCAAATGTTTTTCATAAATTACAATTTTAAAATAACACTCTAGCATCATTTCTATGAAATAACTGGAAAAAAAATGTAGGCAAGCAAAAGTATTCAGAAGAACAAGGAAAATAGATATATGTTATAATTAGAAAAATCAGGAAAGTAATTTCATGACAGCAGTTTAAGACAGTAGATTGCTAAGACAATATTAATCAATGTTAAAAATAAAACTTTCACAGTTTTTCTAATACTGAGAAGCGAATGCATTTTACAGAAATACTTAACCTGGTTGAAACGATTCATTAAAAAAAGCCGGAAGTATTTTCTACATAAAACTAAAAATAGAAAGTTCATACCATGTTGTGTGTGCAGACGACAGATGTCTGAGTTTAACTACTGCATATTTAAAGTTTAATTTTATTTACATGATCAGAGTTAAACAAGAGAAATTATTTCGGTATAACATTATGATTCTTTAATTAAAAACTATACTGTCAACAACAGCCGCAACACTTCGCATACATCCGGTTTCAATATCGATATTTTATAGGAAGCAGTTGAAGTCATTCTGCATTGCACACATTTGCAACAAATCTCAGAAAGAGATATTGGTGAAAAATTGTGAATGATGTTGCATATGCGATACGAATTTTAACTTATACAATTCAAATTAAATTGAATTTAAATAATTTTTATGATTTTTATTTTTTTGATTTACTTTTCAGTTTGGAAATCTATACCTTTTTAAATCTATCTAATCGAATTTTATTAGTTCACAAGCGAGGTCGGAGATTTTTGCTTGCCCATAGCTACAGTGTTAAATGATATTCGAAATCACTAGGCGAGCCTTTTACAGTGTTAAGTAAGCTGATAATTCCGTGCATTCGATCCCCATATTGTATTACGTTTTGGAAAATTTAGCCTTTTATTTATATTTGCATTCTCTTCTTGTCTGACAGTTTTCTTCATAGTCTACTCATTCTTTCGAGTATTGTATTTTTTCAGCAATGCAGTGCAATTTTATTTTGTAATTTTTTTGGCTTATTACGTGCTTCGCCCTTGGGCATTACACGGAAAGGAAGGGATACCCCGTGGAAGTCTTTTTATGGAAACTGGCTCGTACCCACGTTACATATGGGGAAAAACACGAAAACGCCCATGCAGCCAGGATGTTCAACGGGACTCGAACTCCGGACCGAACTACCAGTGTTCAGCGGCTTTTACCGCTCGGCCACTGGTGGGCCTTATTTTGTACTTAAGTCTTCATCACATTTTATAAATTCTAGTTCTAATAGACTTATAAAATTTTAATGCTGATATGAGTTTCAAAGAATATCTACTAATTAGGTCTTACATTACGAATAAGATATTTTTTATAAACAGAATAATACTTCCTTCTCTGTTTGAGTAGTTATATAAATTGGAGATAATAATTTAAAAAACTATTTATTTTTTTAATAACTAGAAGAATTTTCTTATAAGCAATGACTAAAATATATACTCATTGAAAATGAATTCCCAACACCAAAAAAGAGTTGTGCTAGATAAATGAAATTTGGGAAGCGTATTTGCATATCTGAAAGATGGTGTCAGCTCAGATTTACTACTAGACCTAAATGGATAGATTCTAAAAACAATTCTTCATTAACGGAATTTTAATGAATGGAAACGCATTTGCTTCTCTTTTAATAATAGCATTTAGTACGAATGTAAATTGAAAACTGTTTGCATAGTATAGTAACTTTTACTCCATCTGAAAATATTAAGATTTTTTGGCGAATACTATGTAACGAAGTTATGATGATTTAGATTTATTTGAATTTTTACAATGTTTTGCCCACTCCGGAATTCTGTCAGTATTTGGAAATCCGTTTTGAGCTCTCGTATAATACTTGGACAAGTCATAAATATTCTGTTGGCTTTTGCTAACGATGGGAAAAATTCTTCATTTAAGTAGACCATATTCAATTCAAAGAAGTTACTTTTTATGTGCTGTGTAAAGAAAAAGAGGCGTATTTACAACATAATGCTCCAGAAACAAAGAAATAGACAAAACGACCTCATGGATAAAAGGCTAAAAACTGCTAGGATAACTGAGAAAAACAGAGATTGAAGGAAAAAGTACCGAGAAAAGCTCTTCAATTTCAGCTGCTTTAACATCCGACACAGACCAAATAAATTGAGAAACTTCTGCCCCTAAAGAGTCGACATACAAACAGTAAAAGTAAACAAATGAGTTCTATGTTTGAGAATGAGTTTATAAAATATGATTTTGTATGTACTAAAGTTGATGAATCAAGTGCTAGATGCGTTCTGTGGTTGGCAGTACTATCAAATGAGTTGCTGAAAACAAATAAACTGCAGAGGGACACCAAATACCCAGAATCAAAAGATATAACCATTGAGGCAGGGCATTTGAACTGTAGGCAAAACGTTAGCAAACGTTTTATAGATATTAACAAAAAAAGCATTAGTGGTTTCTTACAGAGAGGATTATCGTATAGTTAAAACTGGCAAAACATATGCTGAGGAGTTAATTGTTCCAGCAGCTCAGAATATAGAACGGGGGAAAAGGAAAAATAAGAGCTACATCAAATAAAATTCTATAATGCAACAACTGGTCACAGAATATACGAAATGGCAGATAATGTGGAAAGCGAACTTAAGAACAGAATTCAAAAAAGCAAATTTTTCAGTTTTCAATTAGATGAAACACCGATTGCCAAAACGCTGGACAACTAATTTGTTTTGAAAAAACATGAATACAAAAATGAAATCGTTGAAAAGTGTCTTTTTTGCAAGGAACTACAAAGGACTACGGAGAAGCAATCATTAAATTAGTAAATTTTTAAACCACAAGAAACAATATTTCTATTTTAGGAAAATTGTGTGGGGATGTGCAGTGATGGTGTTCGTGTTTTGGAAGGAAAACACAACGACCTTCTAGCCCAAATCACAGAAGTTTCTCTCAGTATAATACAAGTTCACTGTATGAATCATATTGAATTTGTCGTATCGAAAAACATCCCAGCGCACTTCAAATGTGTCATATATGTTGGATTTGAAATAACAAATTTTATGAAGACGCATCCTTTGAACTCAAGAATGTTTTCACAAATATCCATAGAAATGGGCAGCGAAGATCAGTATCGTCTTTTATACACAGAGATGCGTTGGATTTAAAAGGATAGGGTCATAATGAGCATATTTAAATTTAAGTGTTTGTGTTTTTGAATGGCAATGATAAAAACATTGTAGGGATCAATTTAAGCTTCTAAGAGTTATTTTAATTTTTAAACATGCTTTACTGTCTTATTCTCGTTTCCCACGTACTATTCCCTACCAGAATAGGTTTTCAGTATCGCGTTACATTAGGCAGAAAGTAAAATGGAATGCAAATGAGGCAGAAAAAGTATTTAAAGGACGGTTCCGCTTGCTTAGGAGTCCTTAGTGGCGCCTTTTTGCCGACAGTCTACTTCGTTGTTTAAAGCTAACTACGCTCGATTGTATTGAACATGCCTGCTGATATTCGCCGCTTAATTTAATTAAGGGCCAACTATGTTAAATAATTATGTACAAATTTAGTTTAGTATAGCATTAGGTTAGTTTCTTATTTTATTATCTTGAGTTAAAGCCCAAGTGGAGGCTTTTCTGTGAGCCCGAAAAAGGGGCCATCTGTGTTCTAAGTTTGAGATAATAAGGGTGAGTTTAATCCTTCTCTGGACTTTTCATTTACACATTTGGACTCAGCGATAAGTCGCTACATAATTCATCAAGGTTTCTACGAAGTTAAGCATAGACAACGCAGTTAGAAACATTACATCTTTTTATCCTTCTTAATTGATGAAGAACGGTTAGGAAGATCAGGTTTTTCAAGTGATATTTTTCTCAAATTGAGCCAGTGAAGTTTTGTCTACAAGGAGAACAACTAAATATATTAATAGTTAATAATAAAATCAAAGCCTTTAGAAAGAAAACTCAGGGCTTATGCTGCAATGAGGTTAATTTTGCACTATTTTCCCCTTTACAAAGTTTTGTTATAGAAAACAAACTAAATTTTGCTCAACCGGTTATTAAAGACACAGCAACTCACTTGGAAGATCTTAAATATTGCTTTAATGCTTATTTTTTGAAGACTTTTCAGACTTAATGCATCCGGAACCTACTTCAATGAGTGTTACCCCAAAATTTATCATTTCGTTTAAGCGAAAGAATAACTGATTTATCATCTGATGGAAAGTTGAAATTTGTTTTAAAAGAGTTTGAATTGAGCAATTTTTCTCTTAAGTTTCAAAATGAATATTCAGAATTGTCTGACGCAGCTGTAAAGGTAATATTATTATGAATTTTATCTTATATGTGCTAGATAGAATTTTACCAGTTTTCTATCTAATATCTAATATCTAAACAAATTAATTATAGAGTCACATTTAAAGCTTGAATTCAGCAAAACAGAGTCAGAAATATCACTAATTGTAAACAAGAAAATGAATCCTAGGTCTCATAAAATGCTTTTTTTTTTTTTAATTTTTTTTTAACTGAATTTTCTTTTGAATGATTTTCCCTGTTATTTGCCATGTTTTAATTTTAATTTATAAAGGATTATCACCAGTCAATTTTTAAACTGTATATTTTGTAACTTTGAATTTGGTAACTCGACATTCAGATTATGGGTCGGGTTATTTTTTCGAAATTCCAAGTAGGATCGCATTGCCAAAATGTTTGATTAACCCTGCTCAAAACTGATTTCTGCTTGTTTCTGGGATTTCGCTTTCCGCAGTGTATTTACCGATATTTAAAAAATAACAAAAATTGAAGTCGACACAACTATGAAAAGAATTTATGAATGCACTTTAAAAAACACATAATGGATCCCATAGCTAAATTTTTGCTGACAACACTGATGTATTGCTTAAACGTAAATAACGAGTAGAGTTATTTGTTACATGCTAACGATGGCTGAATTTAGAGGCCGAGAGACAGAAAATTTAAAAGTGAGAGAAGACATGCTATAAGTTGGCAAATTCGCTAAGTTTTTAATTACCGTATTATCCGGCTTATAACGCGTACCGGTGTATAACGCGCATATATAATTTCAAGCTACATTTTTGTGATTTTTAGATATACTCGCCATATAACGCGCACCTAGTTCTTCACGAAAAAAACCTAAAAGATACATGTGTAGTGCTCTTAGCTTTTGAGGTCACTTTATAAGGTATATCTCCCGCTTTCCTAGCGGCTTTCGTGGTGTAACGGTAGCACGCTGGGCCGGTATTATTCCAGAGGTCCGTGGTTCGATTCCCGGCGAAGGCGGTTGCTAATTTTTTGTCTTGTTTGCTTCCAACAAAATACCTAATGTCTCTACAACTTATTCGAACATTTGCCCTAGCCTTTCGAACAATTGTAAACCGCACTGACAAGTGAGATGGGAAACAATATGTGATGTTCTTGCATTTAAATATGCAATAACAACAAATGCAATATGCTGCATTTGTTTGTTTTGAAGGCCATTCAGAGGTTT